CCACGTACTTTCCCTGTATTGCGTATCTTTCTTTTCGCTCTCAAGATTCCGCGTTTGTCAGTGACCCTACGTAACAACATGGACTCCAGATGCCCCAGGCTTGGGAATGTCCTTTTCCTGCTCTGCCCGTCTCAGTTCCCATGAGTGGCCAACACAGACAAGGGCATCGTTAGAACTTGGCTGGCACGTTAACAGGTGCTGGAATCAGGAGGGGATCCAGGGGATAAAACAGGCCACCTTTGTGCTGGTGCGTCTGATGTGATTGGATTTTAGTCTGTTTTTGTGGTATATCTCGCCAGAGAAGACTGAACTCATCCAACAAGATAGCAGCCCCCCCCCCCCCATCTATTCTGACCTGTTGGATCACTGCCACTAACAGGAAAAACACTTTTCTGAGAGCACAAAATGAAAAGCCAGCTCAAAGAATACCGCGGGCAACGAAGTATTGCCACAAAACCATAGACACGCAGAAAATGTCACTGTATAAAGCTATTGTTTCTCCACACACCCTCTCTATAGGTCTAGGCATTTCTGATAGCAGTGTTTCTCTAACCCTTCCCTGAAGAATTCTGTACTTTCAGATTTACAGCACATCCAAACAGCAGCTTGGGTAACTTCATGGGACTCAACTCCTGTCCTTTCCTTGTGTTCTTTAAAAAGATGTCTGAAGGGGCAAAAGGATGGGCGGGCTAAGGTTTTCCAACAAAATTCCCACAGGACAGCCTTTGATACCCTTGAAAAATGAGCAGGTGTGGGGTGAGGAGAGTCCCCACAAACCATCACAGGTCTGGTAGGCGCAATTGTACAGCGATAATAAGTAAAGATTATAGTAAAGGCATGGAGAGCATGAGAGAGGAGAGACTGAATTAATGGAGTCAGACACATTTCATGATAGCATGCTCACCTCAACCCCGCTTGGTGGTCCTCGTGGGGGAGCCCAGCCACAAGAGCAGGAGAGAGCCTCGGGAGCGAGAGCAGGAGAGTGAACCCCCACTTTATTGCTAATCAAGGGTTATATCTCAGGGGGACATGATTACAGGTAACCACACGTCACAGGAAGGGGCAGTACAATAGGCATACACATTGTAGGAAGGGGATGGATGATAGGCATAAGCGTAACAGGAAGGGGATGAGCTAGCGGTGTGCCCATAGGAATGGGAAGGTCTAGGGGTATACATGTGACAAGATGGGCGCACCCTAGATTCATGATGGCAGCCTAACCGTGGTCATCCTTGGGCAGGTTTGACCTCTCTGGTGTCTCCTACAAGGAAACAGACAACTACTATCCTTATCAGAAGGGAGTGGGCCCTACTTGTTGTGGGATAAACTGTGGTGTCTGCTTGCTCTAGATGGCTGATAACTCTTAGGGAGAATGACCCCTAATCTATACCTGATAACCTCCAAGTGTATAGTCATTCTCAAGCAGCTAAGTTTGGCATATATTTGGGGGAGACAACTTGGGAGAAATCCTTCTGTTTCCCACAAGCAGGTTGGAAAACAATTCCTCAGCCTTTGACTCGCCAATGTAGTTATCACTTGTCTTTATATAGCTTCATCAAACCCCCCATGATCATCCCCTGTCTTTTGAGAGAATGCATCCAGACGACCACTCTGACATTCCAAAAGATACTTGTCATAACTTGAGCTGATCTCTCTAGCCCAGCAGATCCCCTTGGAAGTCACTTCAAGTTTTAGTTTGTAATCGTTTTATTTTTAAGTTTCACCAACATGCAATTTGCCTATCACATTTCAATAGTTTCACCACGTTCATAGGAGTTGTGCCACCATCACCAGGACCAGGACATGTCTTCCTTGTCCTTCCTGGCTGCCGCTTCAGGTTTTGATGGGACCGTTTCAGTTTTGCTTTTAAGGCGCCCTCACGAGACTAAGACAAATAAATGGGTTCCCGGGAATGCTTGCCAGCACTCATCCAATGACCACAGAGACGGGCTTCGACACATTTTGATTGAAATGAATTCCTGCCGATAGACACTGGAGCCCCCAGGAGCAATACATTTCGACTGCCCCTGGTCTACCAACATCCATCCCCAGGGAGGAGGAGGAGAGGCAGGGCAGGTGCCCTTCCTGTAACTAACTTGGGGGTGAGCTCTAGCCTGCCGGGGCGGGCAGGACATGAGTGCCACACTCCAGCACCGGATAAAAATAAAGACAAGAAATGAGAGTGCTCCCAAGTTGAGAGAGACATTTGAGTTCTCGGCTCTCTCCGGGTCACTCACCCAGCCTTCCTTGTTAAGATGCTACTCCAGTGCTGTTCCCATTCAGCCTTCTGGTGACAGGAGGTTGGTTTTCAGAATGACCTGCATTCCTGTGTGAATAGCCAGCCCCCGTCCTCCCCCTCCATGAGGAGAGTCGCAACAATGATTGCTCCATTGGTCAGCTCCTAGTTAACTAATCCCCGAGGAGCTGTGGGAATGGGTGGGTGACTCCTGTGGACATGGGTCTGCGGGGGTGAGGGATGAGGAAGGTGGTAATCCGAAGAACAAAAGGTGGCAGTCTAATCTGAAGTTGGGAGGCGGGAATCCCAGTGCCTGGGATCAGATTGCTAGGGAAACAGAGCAGTTATGTAACTATGTTGACTCAGGCTCAGGTGGCCCAGAGAAGGCAGAGGCAGCCCCCTGACAAGAGGCAGCATCCCAAGGTGAAGAAGAGGCAGGGAAGGGAGGTCCCTGTTCAAAGATAGGGACCCAGGCCAGGGAGATAGCTTCAAGATGAAAGGAATCCGTTCTGTGGGCGACAGCTAATGTTATCTGGGACAGCCTTCCCTATCCTTAGCCGTCCCTCAAAAGATGCCAGCCTCCAGCTAGGCCAGCAGCCAGGAGGGCTAAAGCCAGAGGGTGGGGCTGGGTTAGCAATCGGACACCCCGTGCTTGGCCAGATCTCCTGACCTTGCTCCTTTCCCTCTGTCCTCTCACAGTTTTCAAAGAAGAGGAATTTGCTCCCCAAATGTGGGCAGAAAAGGAGGTCTTGGTGGAGGTTCCTGGGGTCTTTCTCACCTTCTGCTCCCACCCCTCTTCTGTGAGGTCAGATGGGCCCCACGGAACCCAGGGGAGGGACCCCATCATAGACCTTCCTTTGTCCCTGCAGAGGGCTGAACACTCTTTGGAGAGTGTCCACTGGGGCCAGGGCAAAGCAGGTTCTGACCCGAGAGAGGTGGTGATAAGCTCCCCGGGGCAGGGGCCAGATAAGACAGGCAGAAGTCAAAGCAGCTCAGGGAAAAGGCTCAGGTTCTCCACCTCCTCCCGCAAAGCTGTTCCCATAGTGATGAAACTGGTAGCCAGGGCCCCACTCCTTGTAGATGGCTGCCACCTCCCTTTGTGACAAACAGGAAGTTGGGACCTTTGTCAGCTCAGCTGCAACCTCGACATTAAATATTTATCTTGGAGCCCAGGTCAGCGCCCTGGAGAATAAAGACAGCCTACTCCTGGGGAGAGAGGGTATGGCCAGGGTTTCTGGAGGCGGAAGACCATCGGCTTCACCATCTTTGGAGAGCAAGGAAGAAAATGAGAGTGAGGTAGTCCTTCCAACTTGTCCCAAGGATGCTGACAGGTGGGGGAACTGGTGGCTAGGGAGGTGGGGACACACTCTGTCCCCAAGGGAGGGGAAAGGTAGTAGCCAGGGTAGCAAGAATCCAGGTTTCAGGGAAGGGAAAGGGCAGGGCCACCAGTCCTCAAGCTCTTCTGGGGAGATTGGGGGCCTTGGATCGGCTTCCCCCCGGTTTATACCCAATGGGCCCCCTTCTAGGAGTTTTGGTGGTGTAGTGGTTATGCTTTGGGTTTCAATCTGCAAGGTTCAAAACCACCAGCCACTCTGAGAGAAATACAGGCTTTCTATTCCCACGAAGAGTTACAGTCTCAGAAACTCCAGGGGGCAGTTCTAGCCCGTCCCATAGGGTCGCTATGAGCCCCCATGGGCTCGATGGCAGTGAATGGTTTGTTAAGTTTGGGGCCCACAGCAAACCCACCTGGCTCATACCACCGGTCGCCCTGGAGGCACTGCAGATCGAGCTGCTTAAAGCCTTACTCTAACCATCTCTTCCCACTGAGTCCTGTATCCACTCCAACCGCCCTGTTAACAGAGAGGAGATGCGGCGACAGGCCTAGGCGGGTAGAGTGGGTCTGCAAACAGTGTTCACCTGTTTTCAAAATGTATCCTGTTCAGTCCCTCCAAAGGGTCTGACGTTACTCAATTCCATTGGCTGGTTGGTTTGGGACCCGGGTCCCAGAGCCCAGCCGCAAACGTTTCCATCACCAAGAACATTCAGTAAGCGTGTCCTCACGTTCGCTAACAGACTCTGCAAACTGGGGGTTAGGGGGTGCGGAACAGCCAGAAAGGTCAGGGAGCGAATGGGCGGGGCTCTTGGGGCTGGTGCCAGCGCCTGTGGGAACAGCGGAAAAGCAGCAAAGTCAAAATAGATACGGTGTTCCCGTGCACACCAAGACCCTCCTGACCCCGTCCCCGGAGCACGGGGCACCACCGTGGGCACCACCCAGTGGGCTGCTCCTCTCTGCCGATTGTGTGTGTGTGTGTGTTGTGTGTGTGTGTGTGTGTCCCCAACACCCATTTGCCCAAGCGCGAAATCTCTTGCCCGAGGCCTTAACTCCTAGCGCTGTGCGGTTTCCCTCTTATCAGTGGCGGGCTCCGCTCGGGCTCCGGGCCACGGCCAGTCCTCGTTAATCATTCCTGCCCCGGCCCGGCTCTGCCGCGCAGCCGCTCCCTTCCCACCCCCTGGAAATGTCGCTGGAAACTCTGAGTGGCCGCCCCTGGCTCCCCGCCCCGGTCCGCCGCCAGCCTTGCGGGTGGGGGCCAGGGACGGCAGCTGGGAAACCAGAGCCGGCTCCCCGGGGACCCTCCCGGCGCCGCCTCCCGACCAGGCCAGCCCCCTGGGCCCGGGGCCACCAGCGTCCCCACGGGGTGCCCCGCCCGCCCGAGCCCGGACGGCAAGGCACTCGCAGGCCCTGGGTGGGCCGTCCTCGAGCCCCCACCCTGAGAGAGAGTAGCGGCGGGGGAGGCGGGGTGTCACCCCTCCGCAAACTGTCCAGCTTGGAAATACAAACGCGGCCGCCCGCCTTCGGCCAACCAACACGCACTTCCCGCGGCCTCCCAGGGCGCGTGCTCATTGCCTCTGCCTCCCTCTTCCTCCTCTGGCGTCCAGCCTCTCGGATCCCAGTTCTGACCCGGTCACGAGGGGAGAGAGTACATCGCGGACCTCTCCCGGGCCCCTCCCTAAGGACCCGCTGAGGCCACGCCAGTCGGGAGCCACGCAGAGATGCTGCTGCGCTCCCCGGCGGCCCTCGTCCCCACCACCTGCTCGCCGGGGAAGGTAGGTGCCTCGGGAGTAGGGGCGGGCGAGGGGGCGGAGGCCAGAGTCGGGGACGGACCAGGAAGCGAACCCTACCCCTGCCAAACTGGAGGTGGACCAGGAGCCCCTCCCCCTTGGGGTCCTCAGAGGCTAGGTGTCCCAAACTTTGGGAAACTGAGATGGGAAGAGGTAAGAAGCCCCTCCCTCCACTCCAGGAAAGGTGGAATTGGAGACTCCCACGTAGCTGGGAAACACCGGGGAAAGTGCGTAGGGCCATGACCCCACCGTCAGAGAGGGGAAAGAATTGCCCCCCTGAAGTCCAGCCCTCCCCAGCTGGCTGCCTGGACTTGGGTGGGCAGTTTGGACAAATTCTGGGAGGACCTCTGGGATTCCCTGGCACAGTTTGTCCTCTGCCAGCGCAGGGCCAGTCACTCTGGGTGCTTGGTCCTGCCTAGGAGATCCAAATCATGAGTGGCCCGCAGCTCAATTCTGACGCTTAGGGCAGGGGCTAGGTTCCCTAGAGCAGAGCAGCCCTGGCGGTGCATCAGTTAACATGCTTAGCTGCTGTCCAAAGTGCAAGCACACCTGTGGCTTCATGGCCCCAAGAGTTGGTCTGTTCGGCAAAGATTTCCCAGAAACCAAACCAAGCCCACTGCCAGTCCGGCAACTCCAATTCACTGCCACTCTGGTGGAGCCGATTCCGCAGCCCCGAACAACAACGGCTGGGCAGAGTGGCCATGCTCCGCGGGGTTTCCTGGGCTGCAGATCTTTATGGAAGCAGACAGCCAAATCCTCCTCTCACCGAGGGACGACTGGCTTCCCAGCCACTGAGCTACCTTCTAGGGCTCTTTCCCTATCAGAAGCCCTCCCTCGCATTTCCTGACAGGTCTGCGAGGAGAAAAACGCAGATATCCCAATCGATGATCTGAGGTTGGACGGAGCAGTGTTTCCGGGAGGCTGTGGGGGTGGGGGTTGCGGGGACAGATTGGGACACCAGGGTCAGCAATCCCTGAAAACTCAGTTTAGCTGTTTGGGGGCACCTCCACCCCCTTCCAGGGCACTTCTTGCTGAGCACTGAGGGCGGTCAGGTGGGGGAAGGAAGTAAGTGCTGGTCAGCTGAGGGTTGGAGACTGCTGGTGCTGACCAAGCTACGCAACCTCAAGAAGTCAGCTGGGCACCCACACTTCCTGCTTGGCTCCAGCCTTTCCTGGGCCTCCCCATCTCTGGCTGTCCCTGCCTCAGTTTCCCCCCAGGAGGAAGAGCACAGAAGCAGGGGTGAGGGGTGGGTGGGGCGTAGCTGCATGTTTTGCTTGGGGTAGGAGTCCTAATTGGAACCAGCTGATGCGCTGCCCTGCCTCCAGCCAGGGTGGGCAGGGAGACTGTCCTGGCGAGCCAGCTGCTGCTAGAATATCACCCCCCACCCTCAAAGGCAGACCAGAGACAGGGAGCTGTCCCAGCTTTTCTGTAACCGTGCCAACACTCCCAGGCCTGAGAGTCGCAGCCCCTATGTACCTCCCTCTATCCCACTGAGTCACCATGACTCATGTGCTGCTCATGTGACCACCGACAGCACACACACACACACACACACACACACACACACACGTGCGCGCACATGGTTTCTACCCCCTGAATCTGAATGCACACCCCATGCCGTTCTCATGACCTCTGCCTGAAACAGCAAGCACACACAGGCCAGTGCAACACTGAGCAGAAAGCCAGAACGAGTCCAGTCCCAGAAGTTTGGCTCAGCTTCTGGCCCCATCCAACTGCAGAGGGGAGGTGGGAGGGGCGGAAAACACCCACACACACACCCCACACCCCCCGCTGGAGCCCCTGACCAGGAACATCTTTTCTGTCCTCTGAGTCCCCTAGCCCATCTCCAGGACACCTTCCCCTGACCTAAGTAACCTCTGCCTGTGGGCCAGGGCTGGTCCAGTCACCCATCCTTGAAGATATAAGAGGGGTGGGAGGGTAGGCCCACTCGCAAGAGCACCCCAGCACACCCTCCATCCATGGGCAGTCTGACTGGGCTCTCACCCACTCTCGGTGCACTCTGCACCGGAGGCCCACTCTGAAGGAAAAAGGAGGGCGCTGATACCCCCTCTGTGCTCAGACGGGTGGTTCCCACTGTTGGCAGAGACTGCTCCCCACTCTCTCCCTCCCTCATGGAAGCTTGGTCCTGTCCTGGTGTAGGGCACCAAGGCTGCTTCCCTGTGGGTAGCAGACGGTGGCCTTGCTATGGGCCAGGCCTCTCCCCTAGCCTGAGTCTTTTCGTGCCTGCTGG